ACAAATTTAAAATTAACAAAGTAAAATAATCATGACAGATGCTTGGTCTCTAGCGGCTGAACATGTGAATAAAAAACAAGGTTGTTTTATTCATTTCTTCTTTGCTGACACTTCTTCACTTTTCTTTTTATTAATTAATTGAATAAATATTTGGGGATTTACCATCCTATTATACATACATTAAGTGTTTTAGAAAAATAACACAAATAGAAAAAGTACTAGCTTATGCTAATACACAAATATTTTTATTCTAATGAACTATTACATTTTAAAATTTTCTTACATTTTAATACATTTGACAGCATTCCATGTTTACATTTCTTGTTGAAAATGTGTGTCATGTGATACTATTTAGGGAAAGTCATTAACTACATTCAGAGAATTAAGTAACTGAGGTTGAACCTTAGACAAATCTGGTAAAAGTAAAAATTCTGCACCTTGATCTCTCATCATGAATTTGAACCTCATCCACTGTAGGAGAATCTTTCAGACACTAGTATATGCATTTGTGATGCAAATGTTTATGATTAAATAGTTTTTTTTCAAAAAATCCAAGAAAAAAGCAAGTTAAATGCACCATTTTATTATATACTATGAAGTTATTTTCCAATTTGATGCCCCAAATTCTGATGTGACAAAGAATGACCTTCCTTTCCCTACAATATTATTTTTTCTGCAAGAAATCCACTAAGCCTTTCACTGTGGTTTATTATATTGACATTGCCAGTCCAGTCAAGTCTCCCTAAGAGTCAAAGTGGATGAAAACTTCAAAGTTTTATATTTATATCTTGATTCACTATGCTTGGATTTATCACACTGTGACAAATTTATGACCAGAGCTTTGCCCATTCTGAAGATTCTGATAGTGTTTCATTATGAAATATAAAATATGTCTACAGGATCACACAAACACCCTATGATTGAGAGGAGCCTTTGCTAGATATCAGAAAGGCTACATTGTATCACAATTGTTGGTAGAGTTTCTGTTTTATATCTTTGATATTAATTTTTATGCAGTTGTAACCTATTCCCTGATAGCTTTCAAAATGTTATCCTATTTGAATTTTTTCCTAATATTTTTATAATGTGTCCTTGAATTAATTTTTTAAAATATTGAAGTATATTTATGAATATCTGGCAGTTTGTATAAATGGCATTACTTACTTTTTTTTTTTTTTTGGTATTTTCTGGAACTAGAAATTAGATTTTTTATTCTAACTTAATGAGGTTTAAATATATATTGTATTACATTTAATTTCATGAGCAAAAATGCCAATCTTACACCTATTTTTGGACAGAAAGTACTAAGCTCACTGAGTATAAAAAAGTTTCATTGAACAATGTAAAAAAATAGTTTGTATTAGAGAGAAAGAAGTCTTCATAATATTAAAGTTGCATGCAAGAACAGCAAATCATATTTTACGTCTATAGAAACAAGAACAAGCTTATTTTATATAACAACATTGACTTAGATAACTAAAATTGCTTATTATTGTTTACCACTTGAAGACAATTTTTAAAAGCATATTAAAATATTTTATCAAACAAAAAAACCGCATAATTTTTTGATTTCTAGGGAAAAATAGAGCAGAATGCTCAACTTGAACAAAAAATAAATACAATTGTCATGATTTTTTAGTTTGGACACCTGCATAGACTCCTTTGTGACACTTATCAGGTATTTTGCTGGATGTATTTGGAATATTGGGAGGAGATCAGTTGGAATGATCCAACTATCGAACTCTACTTGAGAGCTATAGCTATTTGAATGTCAAATTTTGAAGAAATATTCTTCTCTTTGTCATGATTTTCTGAGCCTCCTTTCTACTTCAGGCAATGCATATATAGATACATAAGGAAAAACATATAATGGTAACATCAGTGTGACCAGCTAAATAAGTGAAGTAACAAACTGCTGAGCAAATAAAATTCTCATCTGGTCTATTTCTAAAACACATCAGTTAAGTAAGAAATTATAAAGGAATTCCCATAAATTTAAGTATAATTTAAATACTCAAAGAAAATACTACATTAAGAGAAACTGAGTAACTCATATATTTTATAGACTTTTGGATTAATCTCATAACTTGTCCATAGCTATTAATGTTGTATGTTAGATTTTAATTTTATACTTGTGGCATTAAATATTCCTGTCATGCAATGCTTGAGATTTCAAAGGCATTTTTCCTCCTAGTGAAGTGTACAATATGATACACATATTTTAGTATTGCCAAGGGACCCAGTGAAATACTATTCATTATGGAACTAGTCTATTTCAGTTCATGTTATTTACCCAGTAAGTGAACTTTGGAACAGTATATTTCTGTCCTTTTGACTTATTTTCAAATCCCTGAAGTGTTGCTATGGAGTTTAATGAGCTAAACTCTATAAAGCTTCCAGCACAATGGTCAAGTAAATGTTACATATCATATGAGCAAAATTATATAATTCCTTATATTTTATGTTTATGCTAATATTTTGTTACCAAATAGATCTGTTGTTTCTTTTACATATTGTATTTCTATTTTGTTTTAGGCAACAGAAAATTCTATTTAAATCTCTGAAGTCTTATTTGGTTTTGATGTTTTGCTAATATATTTCTTATTGTATCTTTAAACTGAATACTTTTCTGGGTCTAATTGTGCCTTGACTCCTTATCTATACCCTTTCCCCAGAAGATGTCTAATATTTTTCATCTTAAATGCCATCTATATAAAAACACCTTTCATGTATATATATTTATCCCATTTTTCTTGAATTATAGAATCATACATACAAATATCTTTTATATTTCTATTTGTTCATTGTCAGCATAGTGAACTTAACTGCTTAAGATAGAATTCTTATTTGGTCTTAACTTCCACAAGTTATAACTTCATATTAATATTTCTCAAGTTTGTAAATAGTAGTTGAACCATTCTCACCTATTTTTGTTCTCTCTGAAAACCTAAGAGCTATCTTGGATCCTCTTGTTCCTTTACCCTGGCATTTAATCTTTCAAAGTGTTTGTTCTTTTTTTCTGCACTTTTATCACTGTTGCTTGAAATACTGATATTTGGTGTGTATAAAAATAGTTTTGTGCATTTAGAAAACAATTTAAATTGAACTACATAGTCTACCACTTGTGCTTCAAATCACTTCTCTAATCAATTTTTTCCTAGTTTGTTACTTTGTGACAACAACTTTATGTTCCTGTAACACTTTCTATTCAGTTTACTACTTCAAGGCCATATCCTCAAATTGCTGAGTTTAGGGTTCATCTAAATGGAGCATTACTTGTTCTACTTACTCTGTAAAGCTGAATTTTACTTATTTAGCTGTAGTTTTTTCCCTTTTTCTCAGGAAAGTGAACCAAAGTGACAGTCATGTTTATCGGTGTTCTATTCCCCAAGCCTTTAGTAATTGTGAAACACAATGATGCTTAATACATGTAAATGAAAGAATTCAGATATTTATATATCATTTATTTCATAAAACATTAGTGCTATAAAAATATCATGAATTACCAAAATAATCTTTTGCAAACTTCTTTTCCTTTTTAATTTGCATGTTCATGATCTTTCGAAATCTGGCTTATGAAAAAGGTTTTTTTTTAATTGGCTGTGGTTTAGATTTAAAATGTCTCCCCAAATTTTAAAGGACAGTGGCAGTATTTCTTTGGAAGAGCCATATCGCTGGGGACATCTCTTGGCATGGTTTATTATCCTGGGTAATACATGAGTTTATTAGCCTTTTCTCTGCTTCCTGAACACCATGACATGAGCATCTTTTCCCATGCATGCTATTCTGTGATGTCGCTGGTGCCTTGGAGGCTGCTGATCATCAACTGAACACTTTGAAACTGTAAGTCAAAATAAATTTCTCGTCCTTTAAGATGTGAGTGATAAGTATTTTCTCTGAGCAATAAGAAAATGACTAGTACAGAAAATTGGTACTAAGCAGCAAAGGTGTTGCTGAGACTCTACCTGATCAGGTGATTGGGAAGCTTTTGGAACTTGTTTGAAGGAGGAGTTTGGGAAGGTTTGGAGATGCCAGCTAGAGAAGCCCTAGCCTGTGTTAAACAATGCTTCATATAGGGCAATGTCCAAGTTCAAAAGATCAGAATGCTGGTATGAATACAGACTGTAAAGGACAGGCTCAGGAAGTTGCAGTGGGAAAAAAGGACTTCATTTGCAGTTGGACTAAAGGCCTTGGATGTTAACTTCTGTCAGAAAAATTGTATTTTGCTCATGTTCTAAGATTTTGTGGAAGAATGCAATTAAAAGACAGTGGGTTAATTAATCTCATGGAGGAAATATGTTAACCTTGCATTTGTGCTGTGGTGTGGGTCCTGCAGGCTGCTTATAGCCAGTAAGAATCCACAGTAAGAATCACCAGCCAGTGTCACAGATGATGATATGAAATGCTCTCATGTTTGCCTGAAAGGAAACACTTGAAAAGTTGGAGCACAAGATGAAATGGTTGTTGAAGGATTAGCACTATAAAAAGAAATCAAGTACTTTTCACAGAGACAAGAACAAAGATGCCTCAAGGGCATCTAAGAGATCAGCAGGACACCACTTATTGCAGTATCAGGGTTACAAATTTGTAAATAATTTCTTTTGAGAAGAGAGTCCTAAGATGCCTGCTCATTCAGGGCTACCTAGGGAAGTATATTGCCAAGGTCAGCCATCTGGGCAGTCTGAGTTAACTGCAAGCATGGTGACATGGGGGCTGCTTTCTGCTCAAAGTGCATGACCGTGGCATCATCCATGCAGAGCTTGTTTTTCAGACACGGAGAATGCGAGAGTTATGTGGTCGTGGAGGCTTCCACAGAGATGACAAAGGAAATCCTGGCAGACCATGGAGAAATGTGTGACAGGGTCTCATTCCCTGCCTCAAGCCCCCCAAAAGGAAATGTGTGAAGCTGGGAGAGTGAACCTGGAGGCACAGTGGAGATCCCAGGAACTGGAGATGTCAGGAACACACAGCATCTACTCAGGAAATTTGTATGGTTTGAGCAAAGCTCACCCAAGTGAGAGGCCATGTTGGCTACAGCTGGTAAGGCCATAGATTCAGAGATGCCCGAACCCTCCGGAGTGCGCATGTCAGGAAAACCGGCCCTGGGAATTGCATGTGGCACAACACGAAGTAATGTCTGTCCTGGTCTGGCTTTTCATCGGAATATTTGTTGACACTAAGAAAAGATGACAGTGTAGTATTATATTTTAAAAGGAATTACAAAAAAAAAATGTTTGTTAAATCAGATATATTAATATAAATAAAAATATAGGTAAAAAGACCTATTGCTAGTAGTCATATTTGAATACCATACTTAGCACTGTGAACTTTAGGAATTTGGTGTAAATGGAGTTTTAATTGTCACAAAAATTGTTTTAAGAAGAAAACATTGTCAGGAACAATCCTTTGGAGATATCAGGTAAAGTGTTTAGTCCTAAAATGAATATATTTAGTTGAGGTCATGAGCATTAAGGAAAATCTGTCATGTGGTTTTCTGCCTTTATAATTTATTAACATGATTTATCTTTATCCATTTAGAAAATTCCTGCTGCTAGCTTTATGATGGTGTTTTGCATAGATTTTGCTATAGGTGACATTCAGTTTTGCCCATATTTTATTCATAGTTAATATGCAAACATTTCCCAAAGCAAATTAACACACATATTTGATAAAATGCAGTGTTATTTTTCAAAATTAAAATATAATGTATATTTAAAAGAAGCATAGTGCTGTGTTAAGAGTGAGCTGTAAAACATCAATATTTAATATATTAGCTGAATCCATTTTTGTCCAGTTAACTACATGAGCAATAACCTTGAACTTGGCACCTTCTAACCTTGGTATAACTTGTGGCAAATGATTTCAGAATGCTAACATAAATCTTGATTTCTGCACAGATGTAGTATTCATAGCACATACTAATCTATCCTCTGCTAAGTTTGGATACCTCTTCCATCTCACATTATCAACATTGTCCTAAGCATGTCATTGATTCTAATATTTAAAGAAGGAACATTGTATTTGTCAGAACCTGAAATTTATGGAAAATTGTAAAATTATTAGGACATGTCATTGAAATTGTTTCTGTTATTATTTCAGTAATAAATCAACATAAATTGGAAACTCATATCTCTTATTGCTATTATAATTAATTAGCTCATTATATTTGAGTTCTCATTCTTTTTACATTGTACCACCACTACTAATAATTTGTTAATAAATTCCATTTTAATATAAGTAAATCAATTAAGTGAGCATCAATATTATTTACTTACTTGATTATATTTTCTAACTTGAATCTAAGAATCTAACCTTATAAACAAATCTCATGCTGCAAATTAACAGAAATGTTTTATACATTTCTCTACTAATTTTGGGGCATTTCTTATTAAAACTTACTTTGATTTAAAATAAAAATCTAAGTCCTTCTGTTTGATTCAAACTCAATGAAAACTTAAAGTAATGTAAATTTCTTTTGTTTCATCATTTCTTTCTATCAGTGTGTGTCAATATTTGTTTCTAGTTTGGCCAAAGACAAGTGGTTTTCAGGATAAACTAGACCTGATTCTTTTGGTATTTGCAATGGGCAATAGCATACTAAAATTCTTAAAAGCTTTTTTAAAAGGTGTATCTCTTTCTAAACTATTTTTTCCTGCTTTTTCACTCCATTCTTTGCTCTTCTCTTAAAGATCTCCTTTTCTCTTCCCTTCTCCTCTCCTCCCTTACTTCCCATTCCAAATTACACTTTCCTCTGTTCTGCTCCTTTCCCCTCTCCTCTCTTCTCTTCTTTTCTTCTTCTCAACTTAAAGGCAATAACTTGTTCACATCCCAGGTATTCTATATGATCTGAGAGAACTGGAGTGAGACCTATCAAGGTAAAGGCATAGCTTGGGTTTTAGCAATTTTGGCTTTATTTGCATATTTGTTAGATTATTTTCTTAACCCTTCTTATTGTTTTATGCCTTGAAAATGACATCAATTTTTTATTAAATGTCATATGATTATCTTAATATATTACAGTTATTATTGCTTCTTGATCTCAATCACTTATTTTATGTCTGAGTAGCAGAGGACTGAGAATTTTAAGACCAAAATAGAAACACATGTGATTAATTGCACACACACACACACACACACACACGCACACGCACACACACACACACATCTGTTAGCAGGAGACAGCTAAAAATGGACCCATATTAAGTTTTGGAAAGAAGTCAAATATTGAGATTTTAACTAAACCAACAGTGTAATTTGAGTTCTTCGTGAGAAGAATTAATAGCATGAAGAACGTTTTAGAGATGAGTCAGTCTATGGCTGTCAGTCATTTTCCCATCTCTGGGATGAAACCGTCAACATCTTAAGGAAGGGGAGATTTTCTGTCACTCATAGTTTCAGTCCATAGGCAGCTGAGCCCAAGGCAGATAGAGAGAGAGTGATGGAAAGCCCTGGGGGAGCTGTTCCACTCACACCAGTCAGGAGTCAGAGAGAGAAAGGGAGGAGTCAGGACACGCTTACCCGTCTCTAGGTCACACTTGCAGTGCCCCGTGTTCAACCAGGCCCACTGGTCTACTGATCTCATCACTCATAACAGCACACTGGGCTACTGAGCTCATCACTGGTTGAACCCAATAATGACTACAGAAACCCCACTATCTAGTAACATTTCAAACTCATGAGTCTTTGGGGTGACATTTTGGATCTAAATTGTAACAGGTGTTGTCTTAGTTACTTTCTTGTTGCTGGGACAACCTAAAACAGGAAAGATGTATTTTGTCTCACAGTTTGTAGCGCTTTCAGTCCTTAGTCAGAGGCATTACAGAGAGCCCGTCACAGTCTTCATCGAGGACAAGGAGGTTATATTAATTCATGAAGAAGAGAGTGGCTTGAGGAGAGTGACTGTGAGAATGGTGGGAAGTAGGTGAGTGCTGTGAACTAGGCTAGGTAGGAGGCCTGAAACCCCCTCTGCAATATGCAGAGAGAAGGATATACAGAAAGAGTAATCTGCATAACACAACTGAGATAGTATCTAATGCTTTGGGCTCAGTGTTTCAGCTCTGATGTGTAATCTTTCAATACCCAGGAAGTCATAGGCTCTATCTCGAGGCTCCTTCCCAACTGACAGCATGGAGCATTGGCTCACACATCCCGCTTCATCCTGGATCACACAAGGAAGCCACAGGGCCTCTGGGGAAACACTGCCTGCCATCTTCAAAGACTACCATCAGCACCTCTACATTGCTTAAAGTCAATTGAAGGGATAAGGAAAATTCCTAGCAAGCTCCGTACATATCAATACATGGAAATAGGGTCAGGTTCAGCTAAAATGGAGACAATCAGTCCTCTTTCAAGAAGAATCACACAGGTGGATTTCCACAAGTCATTACAGAGCAGAATCAGTTAATGGAATGACAGAGAGAAGCAGAGCAAAGACCAAGGGAGGAAGAGGAATATGAACCACTCCTAGCCTTGCCCACAGAAAGTCCTTCCAGTGCAGCCAAAATGTGGTGAGCAGTCACTCATAGCTTGTGTGTGTAGCAGACAGGATAGGGGAGAGCTGCAGTGTATTCAGCTTCATAGAAGTGCTTGGGGCAAAAAAAAAGACAGTATCAGGGCATGAACAGGGAGTAAGAATCATCAGATTCTCTTCCAAGCTTCAGGCAACACAAGCATAGAGTTTCACAGAAGATTCAGGGTCTTGTAAAGTTAGAAAAAAATGAAGGCACTGATTTTGTCTTGAGAAGGCCATGGGGAAGACTATAGCCAGGCAAAGATGTAAGATCACTCAGAGATCATGTTCTGGATGCAAGGCAGATGCAGGTTTAATAGGACAACTTTTTACCCATATCTTACAGTTATGGTAACTAAAAATCTCAAAAAAAGCTACGTCTCTGAAATTTCTCTAAAGCACGATCTAAGGAGAAAGCTTAATTTGGTGCTCATTTCAGTGGGGAAATATGTATGCAGTTCCTCCTATAGTGATTCCCCCTTATCTAAGGTGTTACCTTGTACAGCTTCAGTTACCCAAGGTCCACCAGTCTCAGCATGGCTCCACGGTCCTCTTTCTCACTCATGCTGAATCATGGCTGATTGTTACATCAATTCCTTTACCATTTTCATCAATTTATCTCATCACAAAAACATTGCATCATCTCCTATCTTTAAAAAACAATAAATACAGCACAGTGATCTATTTTCAGAAAGACAGACTATATTTCCATAAAGTGTATTTATTACAGTATAATTTCAAATTATTCTATTTTTTACTGTTAATTTCTTCCTGTGACTAATAATAAATTGAACTTTACCATAAGCAGGTAGGCATGAGAAAAAGGTTGGTGAGTATATAGGATGTAGTACTATCTGTGATTTCAGGCATCCACGAGGGTGTTGAGATATATTTCCCCACTAATAAAAACTAATTATTGTATTTTAATATACGTTGATGATGACTGTGAAACCGAGAAACAGTAAATTCATAGAAAAGTTGAGATTGCGAACAAATTTTTCCGATGATTCATATCTACTTTTTGTGTTCACACAATTCTTTTTTTTTTCAGTTTATCAACATGGATAGACATGGAGATGGAGAGGGATTTTCATGTAATTTATTGCATTCAAAATTTTGCTAAGAATATTTTACTTGCATTATATGTTGTAAAAGTCTCTAGTCAGGAACTATTTTTAAGACAGCATTTCACTCTACTTCAGGCTGGTCTTGAACTCACTGTGTAACCTAAGCTGGCCTGGAACTCTTGGCAATCCTTCCACTTTAGTCCTGGGATTACAGGCATGCACCACCACACCCAGCTCAAGAAAAATGTTTTATCACCACAAATAGAAAGCTTCAGGATATTTATTGATGACAAGCCCATAAGTAGTTTGCATGGCTTTTACTGTCTAATCTTAAAGTGCAACAATGCAGTTTTTATAAACTGAATATTTGTATACACCCTTACCCCAAGATTTATGATGAGGACCTACCTACACTCCATGTGACGGTATTTTGAAGTTGGGACCTTTGAGAGTTGCTTTAGATGAGGTCGTGATCGGGCCTTCCATGATGCAAGTAGTACCTTCATAATATTGTGGACAGAAGTTGTTTTTTCTCATTTTCCATTCAGATGATCAGTGAATTTACATATAGTGTATCTGCCGTGCAGGGAGAAGACTTTGCAAAGAAATATGTTGCTGCTGCTTTTATCTTGTGCTTCTCAGCCTACAAAATGGTAAGTCATAAATGCTGGTTATTTAACCTCCATAGTTCATGGTATTTTGTTTACTTCAAGTTGATTAAGGCGCAGATCAATTGTCAAAATATTAAATAACATCTTAAGGCTTATGCTGTAACTGGAAAGATCCAGACCATCAGGAAACCATACACTTCAGTATACCAGACTCCCCAGATGAAGTTAACACATAATACTAAATGTTTTAATTTGCAAATATTCTTGGTTTTCAAAACAATAATCTAAAAAGAACATGCACAAATCTGTTTTCCAAGACTATTGTGTCTCAAAATTTACTTAATTCCAGGTACTTTATCAGTGCAAAGCAATATAACATGTATAATTTTCAATTTTAGGATAAAGTACAGGTGGCATAAACATACACACACATTAGAGAAGTGATTTATTTTCACCACAGTTTAGCCATTGTTTTCTTCCTCAGCCAGGTGACCTGGCATTGTTAAGTATTGATGCTGTCATTAAAATGCCAGCAAAGTTGTATTTTTTATTGCTAATTTGGAAGACTTTGAACATAACTGAAGTCCATTGCCTCTAATTACTGCCCTAATAGAATATTTCTAAGTGTGAATTGATTGCTTGGAGTACTCTTTGCTTTTATTATGAGAAATATCCTATGTTAGAGATCTTGCCATTTCTTCTCATGTCTTTCGTCAAAAGAAGGATGAAATATAAAGCAATAAAATAGAAAGGAGAATGAGGAGAATGAAGAATAGCAGAAGTAAGGGGAGAAGAAAGGAAGAGAGAGAGGAAAGGAAAAAAAGAGAGGAAAGGGAAAGGAAGGATGGGTGAAAGAAAGGAAGTATGGTTGGGAAGAAGGAAGCAGCGGAAGGGGCCACAAGGAAGGAGGGAAGGCAAGGAGGAAGGAAGGATGGAAGGAACGTAGGAAGGTAGGAAGGAAGGAAGGATGGAAGGACAGAAGGAAAGAAGGAAGGAAGGATGGAAGGAAGGAAGGAAGGAAGGTAGAAGGAAGGAAACAAGAGGGAAGGAAAAGGTGTGATGATTTGGATATTGCAAACCTCTTATAACAATAAAATTATTGAGTGTAGGCTGTCATGAATACAAAGAAAGCTTTCATTAAATCCTCTTATAAACATCCAAGATTGTGTTTTAGCTTTTCAGCATGCTGTAGATATCAGAGCACTTTTTCTGGAGCTTCATGTTGTTTACTTCATATTTTGACTGAGAAATATTTCCTTCACCATATAAAGAAAGGCACAGTGAAAAGGGAAAGGGAAGGCATTGGATAAATGGGTAGAGGAGCACACACTGAGTATGCATGGTCTACCAGAATCAAGTCCCAAATGGTCCAACACTCTTCCCACTGTTTAAATCATTACACTTGCTAAGCTATGGTTCTAAAATATATACACTGAGACGCTTAGACTAATTAAGAATATATGTGATTTCTGGTTGACAAGCATATTATTTTCTTTGGCAGTCACTTCTAAGAACTTCAATATGAAAAGTCAATTGAATGCATTAACAAAGTTGGGTGGTACATTATTATTTGCTAAATATTTTATGTAGGCATCTCAGTTGTTCTAAATATTACATTTACTAAAAGAATAATGATGCCCACTTTTGTTAAAAAATTAAAACTTGAGGAAAATATGACACCTTTTTAGGCAATTGGTCCTAATAAGATAAGGAAAATCCACTGTTTTTAACACATGGTATATTTAATTATTTGAAATATTTTCCTAAATTATTGAGAAAAAATCTCAGGCAATGTGTAAAGAAGTTTCCTGTTAAACATAACCCTAATTTATTGACCAAGACTTCACTTTTCACCTTGTTTGCTAGTATAGAAGTTTTCAAAGGTTCATATAAAGTCACGTCCTTAATATGAGATTATCTTGATTTCAAACGAAGTCTCTCCAAATACTATTCTCTTTCCATAAGAAGAGCTTTCAAACTATGTTAAATGTTCCAATGACATGGTATCTATACTTCATTTTTCAAAGACAGTGTGACTATTTTTACAACTAACCTAAAAACATAACACCAGTGTGCTGAATGTTAACAGCACATTACCTTTTTGTAAAATTATAATTCACTGTAGCAGAATGTTTATCTTGCTATATATGTATGTCTGAGTGCCATTATGTTTGTTCACTTGCTATAGTGATTTCTTATTTTTCTAAATTCAGTCCTAGATTCTGGGTGTAAGGAGATCTACACTGGAGTAAAAATCTGAGGAAAAAGGAGGCAAATATTTTAATTTACTTTTCAATAGTAAGTTCTTATTAGACAATTATTTGAGACCATCTAGTATATTAAAACTATGGTAAAATAAAAATAGAGAACATAGAGATTAAATTAAGTACAAGAAAGCAAGTACCTATGAAGAAAACTAATACAGTCATAAATAATACTTTATAAAATATTATAACAACTGAAAATTATTTTTGAATACTTCCTATGTATTATACACAACACATCCACATAAAATGTGGAATCATATTTTTAAGTTAAAAATATGTAATAAGCCCTAACTTTACCTATATTTACTCATCAGATTTAGTAGTTGCATTTGGATTCATAAGATATAATATTATGTTTTATTAGAACTCATTCTGGGAATTAAGATTAAAATAGAAAGGATAATATATATTTGGATTCATAGACTATACACTTTAAGAAAAGAAAAAAACCAATAAGTCAATTAATAGAACTCTGTAATATTTTTTCTTTATTTTAAATTTTTAAATTTTTATATGTTGAGGTATTTATACACAGAATATACAAATGCATAATTCCTGAGTATATGAGTCAATGTATTGGTGTATAAATATATGCCTCAGGTAACATTTAGATCCAGATTCTGTTTGGTAATTTAAACATAAAATGCTCCCCAAATAGTTATGTATTGAGGCTGACAATGTTTAGAGATGGGCACTAGAGAGGCAGTTGGTTAATGCCTTGGTTACCGTTCTCTTGTTGCTGAGACAAAATATCTGACACCCAGAATTAAGGAAGGAATGGTTTATTTAGCTCACAGTCCATGGAGATTTCAGTCCATACTTGGCTGGTTCCAAGGCAGGGTAGCACATGGCAGAGGGCTACAGTTCATGGCGGTGGAAGACAGCAAAAGTAACAAGAGCAAAATGGGAGGAGTGGCAGAGACCAAGTCTCTTTCCTTCCTTTATGCTGTATGCAAACTACTTGCCCCAGGGGCAGGTGTAGCATTCACACCATAGTCCCAGCACTGGACTATGGATCAATCAAAAATCTAGAAGCCTGCCCCATGATTGCATGAGAATTTGCAGGGACATGCAGACACAAACCATAACAGTTAACAGGAGAGAGCTAATCTCCTCAGCTGATTAACCCTTTGCTGATGAATTTGTAGCAGAATGGGCTGTTAGACTGTAGGTCCTAGCTGGAAGGAATGGATCAACAGGAGGGTGGCTTTGCAGTTTTTCTCTTCTGAGTCGCTTTTCCTTTCTCTCTCTGGGGTCTACGTGCCAAGAAGTGAACAGCTTTCTTCTGTACAACAGGGGATTCGCCTGGAACCTGCTGAGCATGAAATTCCAAGAAGAGATAAAATAAACCTTTCTTTCTTTTTGTCAGGTATTCTTCCCTGGCATCAGGAAGGTGACTAATGCAGAAAATTGGTATGGGGAGAAGGTAATTGCCATAACTATATCTGAAAATGTGACTCAGAAGCTTTTAGAAATGTGTTTCAAGAGGGATTTGGAAAGGTTCAGACATGCATGCTAGAGACATTTAAACCTAAATAGAGCGCAGTGGGCGATTCTGTGGGCTCAGAAGATCAGATTGCTGAGGGGAACGAAGACAAGGAAGTCAGTCTTAATGAGGTTTCAGATGGAGATGACACTGTTGTGGACTGGAAAAATGACCATGAATGTTAGCAAAGAACTATCTACATTTTGCCCATGTAATAACACGTTCTGTGAGGCTAAATTTAAGAGTGGCAGAATAATTAGTCAGAAATTTCAAGGCAGCCCACTATTCAGGACGTACTACAAACATTTCTAACTCCCTTTTTCAATATTTACAATGAGAATTGGAAACAAAAAGCTAGTTTTCCTTCTAATTAGAGTTACTGTTAAAATGTTAAAAACATTTCTTTCAAGGCAAATCTGTTAGTAACAAATTCAATTACCTTTCAATTGTCTCACAAAATCTTTAGTTTTCTTATGAGTTTAAAGGATAATTTTTCATAGAAAATTTTATGTTATTGGGAGTTTTCTCTCAACACTTCCAAATTATCATTCCATTTTCTTCTTGTTTGCATGGTTTCTAAGCAGAAATCAGCTACAGTTCTTGTCTTTTTGCCTCTAAATGCAAGTATTTCCCTTGGATTTTCTTTTTGAAGAATAGCTCTGGAAAATTGGTACTATTAACCTTGAAAATGTATTTCAAAGGTACAGTAATCAAGACTGTGTTATACTGGCAAAAGAATAGATAAATGAGTCAATGGATCAAAGGAAACAGCTGAGAAATACACTCATACAAATATAGGCCAGTATTATTTGACAAAGAAAAGAAGGCAATTCAATGCAACATGGACAGAGTTTTCAGTAGCTTGTTTTTGGAAGGAAAATATCTACATGGGGAAAATGTATTTGTGGATATACTGAGTTTATGCCTTTACAAGCATGAACTTCAACTGGATGACAGACCAAAATGTAACATGCAAACATCTAAAACTTTAAAGCACAACATAAGAGAAAATCTAAGTGACTTGGAGTTGGCAAAGAGTTTTAGAATCAATGCTAAGAAAAAAAAGGACTTGACACTTTAGACTTCACTAAAATTTAAAAGAAATTTTTTTTGGGAAATGTTACAGTTAAGAAAATCAGACAAAATTTGGTAGAAAATATATGTAAATATCTTGTTAAGGACTTGTATCCAAGTTACTAAGAATCCATAAAAATCAATGATTAAAACATAAACTTTTCAATTACAATTAGGTAAAAATTTGGACAGACACTTCATCAAACAAGACATAC